TATTGATTGACTCATTGTTTGAAAGAATCAATGTCTATGAATTTGTCCTATGCCTTTCTCAATTGTTGAAGTGATGCTTGAGTATGCCTATAGTTCCTTGTTGGCTCTTGTATTTCGTGCCACTTTGCCAATATTACAGCTAAACCGTTGTTGGTTAACTATTTATTAGTTTTGTTGAAATGCTAAATATGCTATTGGCTGTTTATTGTAATGCAGAAAAGAAGTGAAGAGCTTTCCCATGCAGCAGGTGAGCAAGTGGACATTGTAGGCAATCTTGGTAGCAATACTTCTGGATCTAAAGGGAGTAGTAATAACCTACATCAACTATCTGCTACAGATGCCAGCATTGCATATGCAGATGAGTTTGACACTTCTATTATCACACTGAACACTGTATGTTTCTGTTGTGCCATTCTTTTTCAATATAATTCCTTGTGCTTGCAGGAAACTGTAGATTATTTGAGTATTCACACGTATTTGCTTTATGTGGGTGCTTTTGCAGGCAATTGTACTTTATCATCTGCATGAATATGCAAGTGCATTGTCAATTTTGGAACCATTATATCAAAACATTGATCCCATAGACGAGGTATATATGATGCACATATGATTTTGATTTGTGGTTTGTGCAAGCTCTTTAGTCCTTTTTCTCTGAAAAGTTCAACTTGGCAACATCACTGTGGATATGGTGCTCATCTGAACAAATTACGGATATGTCAATTTTATGTTTCTCATGTGGCTATGTGGGCAACACACCTATTACTGGCACATAGCCGATAGTGTGTGGACAACGTTAATTGATCTCAAATCGTTGAATTTTGATAGGTTATAAGTGGAATGAGAGGAATGACTGGATTATTATGAGAAACATCATTACTTGATCCTGATGATGTGAGTTTGATTGTAATATATGCTATGTATTGAAGACAAGTGCATTTTTTTTAAAAAATATTGCCAAAAGAATGAAAATTTGATACAACATCAACATACTTTTGGTGTGCTTCCTTCTAGAATGTCTGAGCCTGACCAAAATATTTAAATAGATGACACAACGTTTATATTTTCTACTGCAAGCGGTGGAAAGGAGCCATTGCCCGAGGGTCTTGTGTGGCTTCTTTTGACTGGAAAGGTGATTATGGACTTGCTTCTATTGTAATCATGAGGACAAATTTCATGTGTTTTCCCTAATTATTGCCAGTGTTTGTTTGTTATTTTGGTGCTATTTTACATGATATCCTATTGTGTTCGGAGAAAGATGCAATAGTAGAATGCACCTTAAGCAAGATAATTTCTCGAATAATTTATATTCATTTACTTATTTATTATTAACGCTAACTTCCGTAATTACCCCTACCAAGTGTAATTAGCCTAAATAAAATGCATATTAGAAGCTTACATGTCAAGAGAAAAAAAATTGGCGGCTGAAGTGGTAAATAGAATAAAGGAGTAGGGGTAATTTAGGAAATGAGGTTTTTGTATCTGAATGATAAAGTTATTCAGTTTTAAGTTGCTTTTGTAAATCTTTTGTGTGTGTATTGTGTATGCTGAGATTTAGTCAAAGATAACAGGTCGCGTGTGTACTATCACCCAATCAATCACTAAATCTAATTAAAATTATAAATTTAAAATAAATAATAAAAAAATGCAATCCAACTAGTATATATAAATGTCAATAAAAAAGAAAGAAAAGAGCCTCTCATGATGCCAAGTCTAGTGTTTGTAAATCCACAAAAAAGTATCTAGATAAAAAAGTCTAAGAACACACATTTAACTTTAAATATTATTGTCTTTATTTAGAAAAGTGATTAATTTACATCTGTTGTACATACAAGGAAAGAATGAAAACGACCACAAAATCTAGCATAAAAATCAATAAATATGCGAAAATAATGGGCACCCTTGCCATAATGTAATCACCTCATATGACATAGGAAATCTATTAATATTAAATATGTACACACAACAAAATTTGAGATCGACAACATCTTTAGAAGCAATGAGAAAAAAAAATTGATGAAAGATAGAAAAGTTAGATGAAGCATTAAGATTTTCTGCAAAGATAAATTTTCGAATAAATATTATTGTGCTACCACAAATGAAAACAAGTCAGCTTAGTGGTCTTGGGACGCGAATATCCCTATTATTTCAATTTTCTATATAAACTCTACGAATCTGTATCACGCAAGAACAACTAACAGAAAATACATAAACTAATTCTGCTTTGATGCTGCGAGGGATGAGTAAAAGTAGAATCGATTTTAAAGGCTTTTTTTTTATCTAGGGAAAACTTAATAAGATTGATCCTGATCTCGTTTTGAGAGGTTGACAAATATGTTCTCAGAATCTAAATTATACAATGCCAACCGAAAGAAAATACATAAATGACCATGCTCCACACTAGACAACAAAAATAAATATCACCCATGAGCCCACTCTCATCACGCATCTCAGTGCGCAAGTTGCCATCTCTAGCTTCCAAGGCCATGAGGGTTGCCAAAACCAAGCGTCCCACAAAAACACTCCGGCAGCACGCACAGGAGTCTTAACCATGCGGCCCATGATCAAGAACCGATAACACATCAACCTGACGGGAGAAAAATATAAAAATAAAAATAAAATAAAGATAAAAACAAGCCGCCCGGCGCGCCCCCCCGGAAGTATTGTGCCTATCACAGGAGGGCTCCAGCGCCATCACCAACTCAAGAAGTGTTAGTGTCTTATAAGAACAAAATAGCGATAATCTTAATGTGAATGTTGGTATGGTGAGCGACCCGGAAGCCAAAGGAGAAGAAAGGTAGGCGCACAGTTAACGGCCTTGGCCGAAGACGGCGCGTCGTCCTAAATTAGCTTCGGATCGAGTTACCTTTGTCCTGGTTTCAAGCAGAGCCAGTCTCAAAGGTGCAGTGCAAACATCAACCGATGACCCTCATGGACAGTGCCAAAAAGGGCTTGTATCTCACAACACCCGCCCAGGATGGCGAAATCCTTTGCGGGTTCAATCAAGTCCCGCCCGGGATCTTGCTTGAAGATGAACAGTGGAGCAACATCCACGTCGCAAAAGTTAAGTCAAAAAGCAAAGGAAAAAGCGGAAATCCTGTTTATGGAGGGCCTCGGCGATTCTCCTAGAAAGGAACGATGAGGAGATAGCAGCTTTAAGCAAACTTTTCTGATCGAGAACAGGAGGGTTTTCTAGCAAGAAGTAGAAATGAGTACCAATTATAATATCCTGAAACCTCTTAACCGCCAAATGCTACAACTTTAAAGGAGCTCGGGGGATAGTTGTAACTCCTCCAGGTAGCTGCTGACAAAGGACGTAACAACCGCTAGCAAAAAGAGAAGGAACGCCCGCCCAACATAAAGAGGTTTCAAATTCCGGAAGCAGTCCCTCGTTTTACTCGAACCGAGTTGGAGAGACAAACGCGGAAGCCTCAATGCGTCGCCTACCGTTTTGACGGTCCATGGCTCAGTTAGCTAAAATATCCCAGGCAAGGATCACGCTACTACACGGTATTGTTTTACGCCCTGCGTCGAAAGAAACCAGAGAAGCCTTAAACAAGAAAAGCTTTGGCTGATTGCTGAAGTAAATTCGCTCACTCAGATCGAAGCCACGTCGCTGGGGACCAGAGTCATCAGTCGCATCAGCAATTTTGGCAGCCACGAAATCCCTTGGCATGGCATTCTAGACAAGATAGACATGTAAGTCAGGAATTCAAACTAGCATCGATGAGACGCGTTGTATAATTTTACGAGCTGGATAATATTCGGTTTCGAGGCGATTGTCAACGGCTCGGATTCAAGTCGATCCGGGTTCCGCTGTTAGCATCATGCCAGCTTTCGTTGATGTACTCACCGTCAGGAATCCTCTCTCCAGCAAAGTTAGCCTCCACAGGAAAGCGGTTAATCTGGATGGGTTCAGATACCTAGCGGGTCCAAGACGGTTAGGCAAAATCCGGGTGAAGTGCCATACACAATCGGAAGATTTGAAGGTCTGAAGATCCCGTACTAAATGTGATTCGGATTGCAGAGACTTCTTTATAATTTACTGTTGGGGGTCGTCATGGATCAGCGGTAATGTTCTATAGTTCCTCGCATCCCTTCTCAGTGTTTGAAGTTATGTCGAGCACTAAATGAGGAGGTCAAGAGCGGTGGTCGCGGATAAGCAACACTGCGGTGTCAAGGGTTAGAAAATTATTTACTGCCGAGCCTCGGCCTTCTTTATGGGTGCTCGGTCCGATACTGACAGCCATCGACCGCCCACTGGCACGGACCGGAGAAAAACGAAGCTGATACCCGAAGCCGGGCTCTGATTATAGTGAAGGTCCTGTTTACTAAAATGAATATTGAACGCTCTGTAATCCGTGATCTTGACGGTGATGAATCGTCGACCGAGAAGTTGTAACTGGCAGCTTGCCGATGAATAATAAATCATCGATTTCAGAGTACTCCGTTGTCTTAATTGATATATGCAGGAAATTGTATGACGACCCTGTCTACCATATGCCACTTGCGCTTCGTTCGCTCTTATACGACACGAAACACCTCCAAACTTCATTCGGAACACTGTGATATGCTCCCCCCGTCGGCCGAAGACAGGGGGTGAAAAAGAGATAGTCTTTGGAAAAGGGGAACATCCCCGTAGCTCCAGCGATCATTTCTTGAACATTAATTCAGGATGAGAAGAACCCGGCGACAATTTCTCGTGGTGACAGTTGATCCAGCGAATGATTATATGACGACCAGGGGTTATGACCTCTCTCACGGCCTCGGTGAAGGTCTTTATTTTGGTCAAGGTATTAGGGTCGCACCCGTCCTGCTATGTACCAAGAAAGGAACCAGATAATCTATTAGGCAGTCGTATAGGGTCTAGTTATGCTTCATCATCCGATGAGAATTATGGTCAACGAGTCATTAATGCGAATTAATAGACTAGGAAGTGGACATTTATCCGATACTTTTGCAAATTGGGATTCTGATGTGAGCATCTGGAGAAAAGTTCAAAACTCCATCTACCTTCGAAAGAACGACCGATCTAGGAATCGAGAGAGAGAGAGAGAGGGGGGGAGAGAGTTCGAGGTTCGGATTCCGAGGCGCGAAGCGATTAGGGTTAGGGTTTTTGGGGCCCCGATTTGGAGAAGATGAGCGTGGATCAGATCAATTCGAACGCGCATGGGAACCTCGACGAGGAGATTGCGCAGCTGATGCAGTGCAAGCCTCTCTCCGAGCAAGAGGTGCCTTTTTCTTTTGTCATTTTTATTAGATTTCGTTCGATCTGGTGACTTTTGGGGGCTTTTAGGAGTTAGGGTTTGTTGAATTTGTGGGAATGGGGATTTGAAGGAGATCTGGTGTTTTGCCTTTTATTGTCGCTGGATCTGGGTGAAGTTTGAATTGTGTTAGTAGTTTGTTTGGATCTGCTGAGAGTTTAGGGATATACTGAGTTTTTTTGTTTATCATTGACGCAGAAAAAAAGACCATTTTTTTATTGCATTCATTTCGCTGTTTATTTGGTTACACTAAAAAGTTTCACCTGTGGATCTGAAGATTTGAGGCGCGTGTTTAAGTGAATTTTTGGAGAGTGAGGATTCTTTGATTAAAACCAAATTTATTAATTTTCTTTTCGAGATTGGTATGTTCCGAGTTTGCTTTTTCCATATTATTAAGTTTCAAAATATCTACTTGAGTTATTGGTGAGATAAATTCCTTTTAGCTATATGTTATTATCTTGATCTTATTACGGTTTTAGAACAAACCTAAGCTAATATCTGTTAAATGTGGGCCTATGGAGGTTCGCTCCTCTAGTGCCTCTAAAGATGGGTGTCAAAAACTGTTATTACTCGATAAAAAATTTCTCTTCTGTATTAGTTATTTATTACTTCTGGCAGAAGTTAATTTTGATTAATGAGAAATCAAAAACCTTGAAAAATCAATAATATAAGTATAAAACTGATAAGCTGTGACAGATTTTATACTTGAGATAATTTTTTTTTGCAATCAGAAAGAAAAACATTGCCATTATATTAGAAAAGTCTTTTTCATTGTGAAATTATTATACTCATGCTGAGAATACTTAAACTTTTCTCTTCCAGTAATCTCCGTCCCTTCTTCTTTCCTTTTTTTTATTGATTTGGTTGATATGTGAAGAAAAGGATAAAACAATATACATTTCACGATCAGCTGATTCTGCACTTACGAATATGTGAACTTCATACCCGATGGATGTTTAAATTTTCAAATTAACCATAGTATCTCTCTTGCAGGGAACAAAAACTTGTATCTTGCAACTCTTTGTAATTTAGGTAGTAGTGGGTATTAGTCTAAGCAGTGATTCTTTTCAATACTGTGGGGAAATTACTGTTTGCGGTGCAATGTCTCGCTGGATAGGTGCGCCACAATTTTTTGATGACTGACTGATAGTTGAATATGGCTTAGGCTGATAGGTTCATTCAAGCCCAGTGTGCTAATACCCCTGCTTAGTATAGCACATTAAGTAAATACCTGAATCTTTGCATCTCTAATCTCTTGAACTAAGGTACCGTAGAAGGTATAAAGTAGTATGTTAATGATAGGAACTACACTTGCACAATATGTGTTAAAAAATCCAGATATTCTGAAATACTTCAATGAGATGGTAATATGCATAAACATTTATGACTTAGGCTGATAGGTTCATTCAGGCCCCCTCTGCTAACACCTCTGTTTAGTATATTACATTAAATAAATACCTAAATGTTTACATGCATAATCTCTTGGATTAAGGTACAAAGTACAAAGTAGTATGTTAACAATAGGAACTACACTTGCACAATATGTCTTCAAAGATCCAAATATTGTGAAATATTTCGATGATATTATAATATGCGTTCACATTTACTGCAAAATTGGCATGCTTCAAGTTGCACGAAATGTGATAGTGTTCTCTCGAAAACGTGAGTGCCCTAGTATGGATATCATCATTTCTCTTCAAGTTGAACTCAAAAAAAAATTCGAAGTCTGGAAAAAATATATTTTTCTTGTGTTAAATAATCTTTGATGTGATAAACTAGAAATGATTATACATTTACAGTCATTACTCAATTCTTTGAAAATAAATTTGTCAATAGAGGGAGGAGGGTTCTTATTACAATTCGGGTAGGAGTGATGTTAATGTTCGATATTGTGAATATTAATCTTATCAAAGATTTGGAAGACAAGTGTGAAACTATTGTCGAATATTATTCATTTAGAAATTGGACAACATATTTACGCTCTTTCTCTTCCAAATCTTATATATAAATAATATTTGCAACACCAAACATTGATGCTACTTCTTCCATCTGAGTTATTATAAGAACTTGGCTTCCTTTATTAGTAACTTCATTTAAATGAATGAGAAGAACAGGGTATCTTTCTTACACTTCTAGCTCGCAAGTTGACTAATGTTCTAATCTCAACCAGCTGCCTGAATGAGATGATAATATTCTCTTTTAATCAACTCCACCATCTTGCAGTGTGTTGCACCTGTAGACACTTTCACCATTTCAACTTGATGTTCTCTAGATTCCTAGTGAAAATGCTCCAATAAAGATAATAATCATCCAATAGTTAGATTCTTGTGGAAAATGTACTTTTGATATTCTCTTTTGTCACTGCAACCCTCACAAGAGCCCACCATTTTTTAATCAATCACCCTGAATTATATTATTTAATGCATTATTTTATTCCATGTGAGAGCACACATAGTATTTTCAATATGATTCATTATCCGCTAAACTTGGTAAATTTACTTGGTTTTTTTCTTTATTTTGTATTACTTTTCTATTGCAGGTTAAAACATTGTGTGATAAGGCCAAGGAGATCCTTATGGAGGAAAGCAATGTCCAGGTATATTCTGTTTAGCGTCCCCTCTATAGCGACCTTTTCTATATAGTTACGTTAAGACAATATGTGAATTTTCTCTTACTGTTTGGATAGTGCTATTTTTGTTTCATTCATCATGAACTTTGTTTTTTTCCTTCTAAATATATGGTTCAACTCTGTATATGTCGTTGTGAGTGGTATCACTATTGTTTCTACCATTTGATTAATCATACATCTTAAGTTAGGGTCTGTTTCATTTTGTGCAACGGAGAATCATGGATTTAAAATCATATGATTTCAGAAAAAAAAATTCTATTGTTCAGGCTGTTGTGTTTATGGATTTATATCCACTCTTGCATCTGCAATTAAAAAAATTCCCATCTAATTAGAATTTGCCCACGGAAATTCTGAATTCCATTCATATAATTTTCTCATGGACATATTGTACTTATTCTTGCTTAAACTGAAAAACTTAAGATCCTAAATATATCAAACGAACAGCAGAAATTGAAAATTCAATGCGTCATGCTTTACAACCAGAATATTTAAGTAGTATGAATTGTATTTGCAAGTCCATGATTCTCAGTTTCCTGAATTTCCGACACCAGATTTTTTTGAGTTTGATAGATGTAAGCGACTTTTGCAATATTTCATTGTTTTGTTACATTAGCTTACTCAAGAAACAATTGATCCAAAAATTTCTTCCACAGTTCCAGTACAAATTTTTTGTGTATTTGACATGTTGAATTAATACTCATGCTCTCTAGCTGAACCCAAATTGTTAAACTGAGAGTTGGGTTCTAGTCTTAGTCAGACCAGTAAATTCTAGTGTAATTAGAAGAGGAAAGGTTACTCTGTATAAGGGACATTGCCTTCACAGGTTGAAGAACTAATTTGAACCAAAGATTAAGGAGTTTTGCCCGCTTAGGAAAAGATCTATTTGTAGGAAAAGATCTATTTGTTTTCTTTATCTCTGGTTTCTGAGCCCCGAACTCATTGGATTAGAAAATGTTCTCTCTTTGTTTGTGATGATCACTTCCAATTCAGCATTTATCCCCTTTCGGGACACCTATATAACTTTGTGAATGATCCTGTTGTAAATACTTACAAAAATAATTTCTTTCTCATATAGAGAGCATGAGTGCTTATTATCCCTGATAGAAAAATTATTTTCAGCCCTCTTATTGCACATGAGTCCAAACACGAAGTTTGCCTTGAGCATGATCATGGTTCTAGATACTGGTCCCTACACTTGCCTTTTGCAAGGAGCAATTAATGAAGTAAGCAAGATTATAGGAGATTGCAATCCGAGAAGTCATACTCTAGGACAAACAGAAGGAAGGGAAATTTAATGACAAGAGTGTAAAATTAGATGAAAGACTGCAATGCATTATCTGAAAGTTTGAATACTTCTTTCATTATTAATGGTAAAACACAGACATCTAGAGGCTACTAGTAGTCTAGTAGTATTAGGCTTGGTGCCTAAATGAAAATGTCTTATTGGAGCATTGTGTAACTAGAATAGATGGAATGCGTCATTATGTGGTCATTCTGGTGGCACAGCGTGATAAATGAAGATTGATTATATTCAAATAACTACTCTGCCTTCGATTTGATATTTAATGACGTTTAGGTGGATAGTAAACATGCAATGAACCACCTAAATGCATATGTCTAGGTTCTGTCATCCAGTGCAACTTGAGATCCCTGAGGCTAGCAGTATTGTGGCAGAATTGCCTTCGAGATAATGTTGGCTATAGGATATGTACCATGTTCTAGATTGTGTTTTCTGTTTTATATCTGGAAAATCCTAAATAACGACATCCGGTTTTTATTTGGATTTTGGAAAATTTTATTTGTAAATATTGTTTTCTTGTGAATGTTGAATGGGAGTGCGTTCATTTTTATTTGTAAATATCGATTTTCTAGGTAAACACTGTTCTCATGGTATGCTGATCTTTATGATATGACATAATATTCACTTTTTCCCGTCAAAGTGGAATATGATTGGTCTAGTGCTAGTCTTGAATATATGCATGATAATTAGTTAATTTCTCATCTTGAAGTTAACCTGTTCATCTACTTCTTGTTTACAGCCTGTTAAAAGTCCTGTGACAATCTGTGGTGACATTCATGGACAATTTCATGATCTTGCTGAACTATTTCGGATTGGTGGGAAGGTATTTTACCATGAAATATTTCTTGTCATTTTGCAACATCTCATTTCGTACTGCACTAATTGCATTCTATATTGAGGATGTATAAGCATATTTCCTTTTTGCAAGTCAATTTCCACCTGTTGGGAATTATCTTTTGTTCTGTCTGCTTGCTTTTCATCAAACTGGTAAACCTATTTCTCTTTATTTGTTTGAGGCTCGGAATACATTGTCAAAGGAAGTATCATTGAAATTTGAGATTGACTTCTATTTCTAGTCCTTCCCTTCTCACTTCTCAGCCAAAAGATAAGAATAAACTTTTAAGTACATATTGTAATACTGTATATCATTTGGCTGAAGTTGGTCAACTTGTGACCTGTGAACTTTGCAAATAGATATTGCTCACGGTTTCATTACTAATACACTTGGTTTTAAGAGGATTTTGAAATACACTGGCAAGAGGAAGTGTAATTGATATATACTTTTATGCCCCTTGAGAAGTGTAATTGAGATATACTTTTATGCCCCTTTTCAGCCAAAAGATGAAGACAACTTCTAATGATATACTTCTATATAATGCTTGAACGAGGTTAGTTTATAGTAGAATGTGAACTTAGCATCTACTATTCACAGTCCAATGACTGGTGCAGCTGATTTAAGAAGCTATTTGAAATATATCATTGAAAAAAAAGTGAGATTTAGTTTACCTGTATTCCTTACATTTTCAACTAATTGATGAGAAACAACTTTTCATCACATATTTCTATATAGCATTTGGCTAAAGTTGTTTTATACTTGCATGAACTTAAAAAGATACTGGTCATGGTGCATGGTGGATACATGAATTTATTTGGGAATTTGAAATTAGATAGTACTTAGAGCTTAGTTACACATAGGGCTGGATAGGCAGTGTGGACAAAAAAGGAGATTGTGAGAGAGATGACAAGAGGAATGATTTGTTTAGAAAAGGGATGGAAGTGTGCAATGTCATTTTCTCCTTTGCTGAGCTTGCAGTCTTGCATTTTTTTTTCTATGTTTCCCAGATAGAAATATGAGACAGTTAAAGTTGTCCAGTAATTTATTTTCAGAGCTGGAAACAACTTTAACAGTCACATGAAAAATTCAATGGGACTTTGTCCACTTCGGTATTGTGTCTTCTTATTTCTGCTATATTATCACTACTTCAGCATTGTGTTTACTTGTTTGTGCTATATCATCAGAACCAGTATGATTATCTTCTTGTGTTCTGCTTTATTAATCACTAATTCACTACCAATGAGAGTAGGCGTGGATGATGATCGAATTGTTATTATTAAATTCTTATTCGTCAACTTTTTGTTCAAATTCGATTCAAAAAATACTTATAAGAGAAATCAAATAATTTTTGGCATTCGATTATTGATGCGATATGAACATTTGCATGTTTGATCAGTTGCTTATCAAATATTCATTTAAAGTTTTATCTCTTATAATTTGTGTTGTTAGACAGATGATGTTATATTTTGACCTCCTTACATTTTTCAATTTAGGTTATATGCTAATTTTGAGAGACTTAGGAGTTCGAAATCGGTTCGAAGCAATTCGGAGAAGTAAATTTGAATTCAGATTCAAATTCGAAGTTTTTAAACAAATACTCGTATCAATAACTTCGTATTCGATTTGATTCAGTTCCAGCCCTAGGTGAGAGTGTTGATGCTTTTGGTTCAGAATGTTACTTGTGCAGCATCCTGAGTGAGGCCTTCCTATGATTCACCCATCCTAGTATTGTTCCTTCCTAAGAGGTTGATAATGGATCTTTTTCCACAGTTCCTTTTCAAAATTTGTTAGGAACTATTGATTTTTGGAGTTTGTGGAAAACCTTTGGTGAGTTTGTGTATATGCATGTATGTATGTATGTATGTATGTGTGTGTGTATGTTTGTATGTGTGTATGTAGAAAGGGAGAGCTTTTTGCACGAGTTTGTAACATACTTCTGTGGTTTTATTTATCGGCAAGGTACAAGTCTAGATATATCTGCAGGACTTTGTGTGATGTGCCACATAGGCATGTTTAGCAACAAGTTTGTACGCTTGGTGTTTGTCTCCGGCGGCATTTCTGACAGCTGAATTGAGAACTTCCTAGGGGGTCCTACAATTTATGGATTTTGTTTACTTTATAGAGGTCAATGAGGCAGCAGACCCAGCTACTACAGCCAGTTTTCTTTACATTGCAGTGAAACGGTTACATTTGTACTAAGTTGGTGTCGGTCAATCTTTACTATCACTTTGTAGTTTATTTTCTTCTTTCAATTATTTTCATTTTCCTCTCACCTTGCACTCTTATATTGTAAATATTTTAATTGCTTTCTAATAATACCTCCTAAACAGCCTTATTAATGTTTATTTCTTCAATTGCAGTGTCCAGATACCAACTACTTATTTATGGGGGACTATGTAGATCGTGGGTACTATTCAGTTGAAACTGTCACGGTAATAGTTGGCCTATGTGCTTTTTTAGTCTCACATGCTTTATTATAAATTATATAAATGTCTCTCTAGCCTCCTTCTAGAGTTTTTACATCCTACTACTGACAATTACTGCATTGCATCATCAAATAAAAATCTATTTTGTTTATCATATATTTATTAGGCAGCCTCTTGTTATCTCTTGATTATAAGATTGCTAATCTATTCCCGGAGTGGTTAATGAATTCAATTCGAAGACTATTATCACATTATTTAACTATTGATTCATAATTTTTAATTTTCTTTAATTAGCTGTTAATGTTTTTTTATTTTTTAGTTTTTTTATTACATCCTTTTTTGTTTGAAACGGGCAAAATTGACCTGAGTGATGTGACTTCACTATGAAAACGGTATGTGAGCATTTTGTTTAAAAATACACCATATGCCTAACCATTTAGAAAAAAACGTAGACAAATTATAACAAAATATATCAACTTGCATCACATACCAAACTGCTAAATACAAAGTGGATTATAAATAATTTGGTGGAGTATTTCATGTTTAATAAGAGTGATTTCAGAGGTGGTGAGTTCAAGAATAAATGGCGGTAATATGTTGGGTTTGTGGGCAAAAACCTTGTTTTTGGAAGTGAATGGGTTTGAAATAAATAGGGGTGAAACTTTGGGTTTGTAAGCAAAAACCCCATATACATTATGTGAGGCTGCAACATTAATGTGGAAAAGAATGAATAAATAATGATTTAACCATTTGGTTTAAACATACATCATATCTAATCACTTTGAAAAAACATAACAAGGTAAAGTGAATTGTGACAATTTACATACACCAGGCTGCTGAAGTACAAAGTGGGTTTACAAATAATTTAGCGGAGTATTTTGGGATCGAAGAGTGATCTTAGAAATGAGTGGATTTAAAATTGATGTGGGTAAAACTTTAGGTTCGTTAAAAAATCTTTTAGGAAGTGCATGAGTTTAAAAATAAGATGCGGTAAAACTTTGGGTGACCACATGAGCTTTTTTGAGTATTGCCAAGTATAAGCAGTAGCTACGTTCTTTAGCTTTAGTAAAGAAAAGAAAACAAAGCGGAGGATTTAGACATGAATTGACTTTTTGACTTTGTAAAAGCCGGATATTATTTCAAGATATAGTCTATATCAATTTAGTTTAAGAAAAGTTGCATGTAAAATTACAAAAAATTAAGTAACGTGTTTGCATAAATGAAAGAATAGTTGGAAGAGAGATTATACTATGTGGTAAAGCTATTGTCATGGTAAAACTTCGTTTGATGTGGTAGAAAGCTATGATGCACGGTTATGGATACGGGACATGGATACGACACAGACACAAATACAGGATACGGTAAAATCCAAAATAATAGGATACGGGGATACGTCAAGGATTTTTTTTAAATTATTATTGTATATAGAAAAATTTATAAAATTCAACTAACAATCTAAAATATGAATCTATCACAAAATAACAAGTTTGTAAACAAAAAGTACATCAAGATAAAGTGGAAGCTAGTCTGATGACTTCTTCATTGCTTTCATCATCAACAAACAATACAGTCTCCATGGTGGGTTCATCAAGAGACAAGGTGGCGACATCAAGAATTCCAGCACCCTAAAACGAGTCGAATGCATCTCCACTAATATCCCACAGCTTCGATTCTCCTTCTTGATATTCTTGGGATGACCGAGAAAGCAAACGCAAATTGCTATGCGCATACACAAGATCTTTTGCCCTTGTCGATGTCATCTTGTTCCTCTTCAAAGAGTGAATGACAGAGAGACTGAGAGAGAGACTGAGAGATTGAGAGAGAGACTGAAAGAGAGACGAAACAGATAAGAGAGAGACGAAGAGATCGAGAGAGACAGGGAGAGAGATGGACTGAAAGAGACAAAAAGACTGAGAAAGAGAGACGAAGAGAGAGACAAAGAGATCGAGAGAGAGACTCAGAGAGAGAGAAGAAGAAAACTCATCTTGACGAGGACGAGGACGAGATCGACGAGGACGAGATCGACGAGGCCATTCCGATTCTCTGACCCAACAACGACGAAGATGAGGCGATTCCGTATTTGTGGCAGCGTCGCTACTCGGGTGAGTGAAAAAAATTAGGGTTTAGTTTGAGTTTGGGTTTCGGGTTTTATCTTTCACCTGTTTATTTTTTTTTCTTTTTTGTTCAACAAATCCGAGCCGTGTCACGTGTGGGATTGGCCGTGTCCAACAAAGATTGACCGTTGACCCATGTCAGACACGGATTGACCGTGTCCGACACGCGTCGTGCACGTGTCGTGCACGAATCCATGTCCGATTCGAGTCGGACACATATCCGTGGCCTCCGGGGGCGAATCCGTACTTCAGAGGTAGAAAGCAACGTGCAACTTGAAGGATATGATTCTTTTGCCCCCCATTTTCTATAGGAATGAAGATGCTCTTGAATCGACATAGTTTGTTTTGTTCCTGCTAGGAACCTAATTTGTGTTGGGTTGGTAATATGAATAGTACATGATGGAGCTCGAGCAAAAAGTATTGATTCCATTACTTTTTGGGGTGGGGGTGGGGAGGGGGAGGGGAGAATCTAGGGTTGGTAGCAATTAATAAGTTAGACCAACTTTGTAAGTATATCCTCAATATTGAAATCAAAGAGTTCAAATTCAAACAAGTTTGAAGTAAAAAAGTCAAATTTGTGGAAATCGATAACACTTTTTCAATTAAAATTAAAAGTGTATTATTATATTACAAGGGGAATTAATTGTTTATCTAATCGTTTTATAGCCTAGAAAGAAATAACAAAATACAGAAGGTATATTGCTGCCATTTTGAAAAGGAGAAGGATCACCGAAGTAACGTTTAAACCCAATGATTCTAAAGAGAAAGGATTCTGGAACAAGAAAATACTATTTTTAGTTGTCTCAATCATTTTATTATAATGAAGAAGAAAAATAGATTCGAGACGAGACAAATAAAATAGGTTAGAGATGGCCCAATAAATGTCTTAAGGATTTATCTTTGAACTTTTTCAGAATTGCCTAACTTGAGTTATGAGTACGAACGATATTTCTTTTATTTTGTAAATAAGAACAAAAAACAACTCAAATCATAAATTCATGATTTTATGGATATATTTGTTATTATATGCATAAATATTAGAATCATTTTTTCTAGAGCCCTATTAGGAGAAAACCTCCTATGCATTTCGGGGCGGTGGGTATTGTTTATCTACATCTATCCCAATGAACGATCCATTGAATCATTGCAATTGATATTCGAGCTCGAAGAGAAGGAAGAGATATTCGAAAAGTGGGTTTTACAATCTGGCATAGAATCAAACTTATTTAAACGTTTCTGCTATTTGTTATTTCCTTGAAGAAGGTGCTCGATCTACAGGAATTGTTCATGATATTTTAAGGAAGACAAAATTATTTAAAGAAAAAACTTAATAAAAAAAGGACAAAAAGAAGCTAGTATCTATTTTGGGTAATTATTTCCCAAAGTTTGCTATTTTCTCGGTTTGTTCATACTTATCTATTTATCTTTTTTCTTGTTGTGGGAATCCACCAACAAACAAAGGACAAATCTTGCTTATTGTACAATGTTTAGTGATAGTTCATTTGTCAATAATTTTAGTATATACTTTAAGGACTGAAGCTGAAATAAAATAGGCCACCGATGTGTTGGTATAATTTGTTTTTTTCCTGTAAGAGATTCTGATTTTAATTATTTGAAATCCCTTTTATTTATTTATTTTTTGTTTTTTTGCCGATAAAGCCAAAGTTTAACCCTATCTTTAGGGGTGGAATTTAATCGAATACCGCTATTCGAATTTGGTTCAAAATGAGATGTTTGAATTCATATTCACATACTTAATTAAATATGATTCATTTATGTTCACAAACGTTCAATAACTATTCGTAAATAATCAAATAGTACATCTTACCTTGCCGTCGACGCGTGGAGAGGGCTTAGGAAGAGAGAAAGGCTCATTGGGCAAGCAACGACGACATGTGAGGATGAGTCACGAGAGGGAAAGGGAAATTGAGTCGAGATGGAAATAATGGCACATAAGAAAGTAGGGCAAATGCACGTGGGAGAAAGGGAACCCTAAACTATTAACTGTTAACTTTGTTATGGGCCTGGACTATAAGCTTATGTTTGTAGACTTGGGCTTAGACTAGTAACTTATCTACATTGACCTAGATTATTAACTATCACATGTGATTAAATATGTAAAAGCAAAATTGCAATGAATAATATTTACAATAAAATCGTAGATTAAATTTATAAAAAAATTTAAAATATAAATGAATAGTTGAAATCAAACATATCGAATATACACCTGATTAAATTCTATTCGTCCATGAAAAATTATTTATTTACTGCTTAGTGAACCATCGAAACAAATATAATTGAATACTTGGAAAAAATAATTAACGAATTGTTTGTTAATTGTTTGCTTCATTTCCACCACTCCCTATCTTCAAACCCCACCCGCATAGAAGGTTTTTTGCTTATAAACCTTAAGTTTTACTCTCACTTCAAAATACTCCACTCAAGTTTTACCACATTTTATTTTTAAACTCGTACGATTCTCAAAAGGTATTTTGGCTAATAAAGACAATTTTATTCTGGATTATTCTGAAGTAGGTTGGTTAACAAACAAATGAGAGTAAAACTTAGAATTGATAGGCAAAAGCCTTTTTCCCCCAAAGTGGTTTGAGTTTGAAATAGGGGATAAACTTGGTTTATTGGCGAAGGAACCAAAAATATGAATAGTATTGGGGTTTCAACGAATCGGAACTTAGGAACCTCCTGCATGAGAAGGGAATTGTACCATTGTACCGACTGCTCATTTCCTTTTAGATTACGTACTTAGAGTACACGATAAAGTTATTGCAGGATGAACTGTAGCTAAGCACTGTTCATGTCCAGTAACTTTACTATATAATATAGTCTTTCTTCCAACGATTCTTTCATTTATGCAGGCACGTTACCTGCTTTTACTAATTTTTCATAATGTTTTCAAACCAAATTGATATAGACCATCCCTTGAAATACTATCAAGTTCATATGAAGTAAAAGACAAACATTTTAAATAGCTGTCTAGGTGCTTGCCTAGGCCTAAGCTGTACCTAGGCTACTCGCCTAGGTCTTGGGAGTGCCTATGGGAGTACGGGCTGCATATGTGGACTGCATCACTTGTGTTTTGGTTGTGATTTCCTCCAATGTCGTAGGTTTCAGCTTTTTAACTTTGCTTACTGAAATTTGTCACCATCTAGGAGGCTTTATGGATTAAACGTTGAATTAGGTCCTTTGATCATATATTAACAAAAACGCACACAAATATGCATCCATTTAATGGCGAGCTGGCTGGAGGAGCATTAATGGCCATGCTCACGAGTTTCTAGAGATTATCCCCAGACCCTCAACTGTGGCCTTCATGGTTCCCCTCACGCAGGCAAGTCCTCTGGGGTACTGTCCATCTATGCTCCTAGGCACCACTAGGCGCAGGTCCGGTGCCTAGCAGCGCGTGACATTTCCTATAACATCGACATAGGTCAATTTATGTCTAAATTTCCTGCTTGTTTTTTCTTTTCTACTATAGGTGAACTACATATCTGCTGCTTTTATTTGGCAATACTCAACAAGTTCATGTGTGGGCATGCATATTGACGTAGGTCATCAATCTTGCTATCACTTAATGTGTTACCCGTTTTTTCTGTCAATTAAAGAAGTTAACCACTGGTCGATGTTTGTTCTTTATGGTAATGAAATTTGCATTTGTGGAGTTAGCATGTGGTTTAATCTGTCTTCTCCTTTAAATTTATGTCTGATTTCTGTTCTACTTTTAGCATTGTGGTTCTAACACTTGGCTAAAGTGATATGATCTGAATTGTTACATTTGACCAGCTTTTGGTGGCTTTGAAGGTGCGTTATCCACAGCGCATTACCATCCTCAGGGGTAACCACGAAAGTCGTCAGGTATTTGGGTTAATTTTAGTTACTATCAATATATTTGTGTAAGATATTTTAGTTCACTTTTTTTTCCCAATCCATAGTGGTCCCATTTTGGTTTGGTTTTTTGTTTATCTTATTCCTATTACGCCTGACTCGTACTGAAAGATCTCTTCTTATTGCAGATCACACAAGTTTATGGATTCTATGATGAATGCTTAAGAAAGTGAGTCCTTAGTTCATGGAAGTTCCCTTTCAAGTCTTGGTATCATAAATAGACTGACTGGAGATTACTTATCAGGGTGTGCTTGGCAACTCCAAAGAACTAGTTTTAGTGTATACAAATATGATCAAAAATGTAGTTTTTAGTTTGGCAAACTTGGATCAAATTTGAACTAGTTTTTTTTTTCTAAGTTCAAATTCTAGCCCTTAAACTAGTTTTTGCTTAAATAGGTCAAACATATTTTGGATTTGCCACAGAAAATTAAGTATTTACTAAAAGTTCACTATTTTGATTGTTCTAATACTAAAAACCTTCAGGTCCCAGAACTTAATTGGATAAGCAAGGCAATTCCTTGCTTATTTGAACTAGTTCTCTTTCTGTAATTAGTTAATTTCAAGAGAGTAAAACAGCAAGAACCATAACAAAAAAAAAGAAACGAAAAAGGAATGGTATCTCCTCTTTATCAACAATTGTGTATCCAAATTTACTATCAACCCATGTGGGCTCAAAGAGGTTTTTGAGTCATCTGCTCCACTTATTAGTCTGTTTAAATTATCAAAACAAGTGACAGCGATTCTCCTTTTAACTTGGTCTAGGAGATACTTCTGCATATGCCTACGTGAAGCGGGTTTGTCAATTGTTTTTATTTCACTTTTTTGCAACTCATGCCCCCACACTCTTTAGAATTTACTGGAAAATGTGGAGCATTCAAGTAATATCAAATTCAACCTGGTCAGCATGTGTTTTTTTTAATGTGATTCAAGATGGACATTTTGACAGAATTATGTAGGGTGCAAGTTAAATCATATCCAGTGCAATGTGTTGAGCGGTTTAACTTGGTTGGCTTGAAGTGTGCTAGAATCTTCAATAAGACCATGAGATCCAGTCCTGCAGAAAGGACATGGACTAAGGTGGAGGACTTATGAGGTTCTACTTGGACAAAAATAGTTCTGGGAGAATGTTGTATCCATAGTCTATTTTAGGTAGTAAGAGTGTTATTATTACACTGCCCAAGTCTACATCCCTTAGATTGTGACTTCCTAGATGTTGGTAGAAAGTGCACTTAGGACATGGTTTAGGCAAACGTCATGTATGAGCTTTGATTTTTGAAATAAGAACAGAGTTTGTATGCACCTACATAAATATATGGTAGGCCAGGAAAGTGGGTTACCAAAGTGTCTTATTTTGAATTATGCATCACAAAATAGGTGATAAATATAATATCTTTTTGGAGCATTCAAGCCATGCATCAGATGGTCCCTTTTATTCTCTTGTTAAAATGCGGTATATTGCAGCCAATAAATGAAAGATTTGTAATCCTTGTTAAATCATTCCCTATTCATAAACATCTAACGACATCTAGCTCATGATGATGGATATGGTGGGCCATCATCTGTTGGGATGCACAAAATATACTCAGGTAAAGCGAACAAATTTTTTCACTAGCAAGTCTCTTTAAGGCATGAAGAAAAATCATTACAAAGCATTCTAATAACTGCTGTTGGATGGGGTTCAACTGTTTTGAGGTCCATTTTTCTTAATGGACCTTTTTCTTTGATTGCTTTTATACAGTTCTAACTTGTTCTTCCTACTTTCCGTTCACAGATATGGTAATGCAAATGTGTGGAAGATCTTCACAGACCTTTTCGATTATTTTCCATTGACAGCATTGGTTTGTACTCTGGACATTGTCCTCCAGCATTTGCTAATATTGGTTTTTGATATGAACATATATCTAAGATGAAAATATCTTTGTCGTAGTTCAGTATGTTAAAATTATCTGTCAGGACTTATAAACCGTACATTATGGAGGTTGCTTTGAATGGTTATTTTAGGATTACTTTGATGCTTGTAATCACTATCTTTGGAGGTCCATCAGGACACCAGAGCAATAAGTATAGTCATGCCGTGCAGTACATCTGCAATAGTTGCACTATAATTGTGATTTATATTAAACTATATACACAAAGTATTATTATGATTATTGTATCAGTATTGAGCAAGGGAAAAGTCACTTTTCTCGGATCGTCTTTATAGTCTTGTGTAGGACTCCCTTCTAGGGTAGTTTTGTTAAACTGGGGAAAAGTCACTTTTCTCTGCACCATCTTTATAGCCTTGTATAGGATTCTAAATGTAGACCCTTCTATGGTAGTTTTGTTAAACAAGATTAATTCAACACTCTTGCAGCAAGCTTGAAGCGGATTAATCATCACAAGCTTATCTGTAATTGAAGTTTTAAGCTACGATATATGGGATATTTTCTTTGACAAAACTTAGCATGTTCGATACACCCGACTTGAAAAAAATTTCAATTTACAGTTACCTAAAAATTATCTACAAGTTGGAGCACGTTGTGTCCCTCTGACGATACATCATTTTCATATATTTAGGTTGTTTCATGTATGAATCACAACAAATGAACATATTGTATAATTCAGATATACATATATTTAGTCAAAACAAATAGATGTACCTGTCATCTTGTATTTGGATTTTGAACAACTGTCATAGTCAATGCCCTGGGCTTGTGCTGGAGAACAACACATATGTCCTTGTCTAGTAACATAGGTTTTTAGACAATTTTCTATGGAGAATTGGTCTCATGCAAGGGCAACTTAGTGTTTCTCCATGAGTAATTAAAATTTAGTTACCCTCCATTTTATAGTGGTTTCCAATAGTACATTATCAGAGTAAATGTTGTCGATAACCTCACACCTCATTGTTCAGCAACTATTTTTACCAATGCAATTTTTGTTGATAGAGTGTTATGTGTGTGTTTGTGTAGAGTAAAGCTCCTATAAACTTAGGTGGATAGGAGCCCTTTATCCACCAACTTTTTTATCCATTGATTTTGACTTGAGAGTTCCGCTACGCATTTATATGGGTTGGTATTTTACTTTATCTTATCTAATTTATGATTAGTGGATAGCAAGCATTAATTTCATTGTTTAAGGTTTTAATTGCCAAAAGTTATTAAAGTCGCAGTTTGTTTACTTGCCGCATAACTAAATTCCTTTGAAACATATTCTCTTAGCATCAAAAGTGGTTTAATTGTTATCTTTGCCCTGGAATGTGTCAGGCGCCCATCAGAATGCTATTGAAAATTTGAACTTGATCAAAAATTTCTAGCCAAAAAATAACCATGTGTCATGTGAAGTTCTTGTGCATTTACGGCTGTTCCTTGTTTATGTTATTCTTGCACATTGTATTCTTGCATTCTTCGTCCTCTTTCTAGCCAATAACTTTTAGAGATTTTTTGTAAGTATCATTGTTATCGAGGCGCGCGCCCTGGGCGCGGGGCGCTACGGGCTGGGACAATTGCGCCCCGCACCAGTGGCGGGGCGTTGCACGCACACGAGGCCCGCGCCTCGTGTGCGCCTCGTGTGCGCCTCATGTTCGCCTCATGTGCGCCTCGCGCGCGCCTTGTGTGCGCTTAACACCTACATCATGTAATAGACTCTGTTTTTTATAAAATAATTTACATATTACATATTTACATCATGTAATAAACTCTTTCTTGCTAGTTGCTAATCCATAGTCCATCTTTTCATGTTTAACCTATAAAAAAGAAACAATAATTAGTAATTTAGTATACTTGTTTGTTAATTGTAACTTCCGTCTCTAATTAGCATGCTAACTAGAAAATTATGAACATGTAAATATGTAATTGTTACCTCTATTCTCCATCTTTTCATGCTAACTAGCAAATAGCAATTAAGAATGTTAACTAGAAAATTATGAATAGTCATGTTTGTTAATCACTTAATTGTTACTTAAAAATACATATATCATATTAAATGAAAATACATATTTCTAATTTGTTAATTGCTTGTTTTTTCATAGACTTTTGCTTATGTTGGAGATTATCTTGCATTGTGATTTGTGGAAACTTATGAGCTTCTCTAAGTTATGCATGCTAATTAAGACTCTTTCGTGATTTAGTAGGTGAAATTATATTTCTTAATCTTTTTATGTGACAATTTATAAACATGTTGTTTATATGTTTCTTTGTCTTATGTCGGAAAATATTAGTTTGAGTTGTGCGCCTCAATTCAATGAGGCGTGCGCATCGTTGTGCGCCTTGCACATGGTGCGGGTAAGGGGCCTTTGCGCCCTGCATTACGCCTTGCGCCTCGATAACACTGTGAAGTATTTTATGATTATGATGTCAATTTGGTAGCCAAAGTGATTGGGGACTGCTTTATTTTTGCATCTGTACTTATATGATGTCAATTTGGTAGACAAGGTGACTGGTGACTGATTTATTTTCACATTTCTGTTCGTATTGTTTCTAGCTTGTAGATCATCAGTCTTGTATTCCGGAGATTAGAATTTGGTACTATTTGCTTTGAGACTAGTAGTCTTGATCCTTTCTTTTCCTAGGTTGAATCTGAAATTTTTTGCCTGCATGGTGGCTTGTCTCCTTCTATTGAGAATCTTGACAACATCCGCAACTTTGACCGTGTTCAAGAAGTTCCTCATGAGGGTCCCATGTGCGACCTCTTATGGTCTGACCCAGATGACAGATGTGGTTGGGGTATTTCTCCTCGTGGTGCTGGGTATACCTTTGGCCAGGTATAATTTATGTCACCTATTGATTTTATTAAAATAGTTTTGGATGGCTTGCATCTGCATTCACTCATGCTGTTTTACTTTTCAGGATATATCAGAGCAATTTAACCATAACAACAACCTTAAGCTGATAGCTCGAGCTCATCAGTTAGTCATGGAAGGATATAACTGGGGTCATGTAATCTTTTTTTTTCTCTCAACTTTTTATACCTTTTATTTGTACTCTATGCCCGTTATTTGAGCTTATATTTCGTATCTTCTGTGTCTTCATGAAACAGGAACAAAAGGTGGTGACCATTTTCAGCGCACCTAATTATTGCTATCGGTGTGGAAACATGGCCTCAATCCTGGAAGTTGATGACTGCAAGGGTCATACATTTATCCAGGTCTCTCCTTTTCTATTTCTATTCAATGAGCAGGATCTTATGCCTCAAATTTTTCTGTTGCCATCATCGCTCCTCTTATTTAAGCACACTTATTAGTATAAGCTAACATACAATATATTTTGACAGGTCACTTTTTGAAAAGTAACTTGGAAGGATAGATTCAGGTCACTTTTTGAAAAGTAACTTGGAAGGATAGATTAAAGCTTAGTTCGCACTGCATGTATCTTTTTTTATAGTACACTGCATGTATATTGAAACTTTTTTTTTCCTTATTCTATTCCTTGAAGTTAATAAAGTTTGGATGCAGCTTACCATGCCACATAATACATATATGATGATTTTAGACCTTGATCTAGATTTTCCAACATAGGAAAAACAGAAGGATGAGAATTCATTTCTACTTGAAGCCTTGTGAAGAGGAACAGCACACTTTAATTTATATACTGATGTACTATGTAGTTTGTTCAGCTGTATGCCAAGCAAACTTGAGCTGAGAAAAGCAGTACTTTGATAAACAGCCTAACATAGGTCCAGGTAATCATTCAAAGGCTCGATGGGTTTAACATATAGTTCAACTGTTGTCTCTGAATTGTAGACGTATAGTTACTGCAACATTGAGGATTCCCAGCAGTACAGATTGATTCTAATTCTTGATCACATTCATCATTTCCAAGAAGTATACTGTTTACTCTAGTTCTTTCCATACTGTCGTGATTATGAATATTAGTGGGCTCTAAGCATGTTGTTGCATTAGCTGTTTATGCACAGGTCATTAATAAAATCCCTTGTTCAGAAGAAATAGCTGAAAATAACTCTCCCGATTGTACAGGAAGTTTGTACATTTGACGCTTTTGGTAAATGTGAATATAAATCCTTACTTACCAAAAAAACCTGTGTCCTGTTTCTTACAGTTTGAACCAGCTCCAAGAAGAGGAGAACCTGATGTGACTCGCAGAACTCCAGATTACTTCTTATGATGCAGCTGGAGTATATGCTACTTCGCTGAAGTGCAAGTGTTTTGAGGTTGCAGATATCCTTGGATCATGCACTACCAGATTGGCATTTTTACTGGAAGATGATACACTTGGTGGGCTTTGGGTATAAAAGTGCAATTCTTAACGGGGAGTGAATACGCTCCTCTTATCTGTTCCTATGTAATGGATTTTGTAATTGGTTTTCTTATGGAGGCAGCAGTTGTAGCATTTGAAGCAGCAGCAGTAGAAAGCCAAAATGTAACATTTCTAGGATCTCTTTCGGGTTGTGAATTCAGCCTACTTCTATTTCTATTTTTTTATTTGGCTGCCTTATCTTTATTTTCTGTTATTTTTATGATCTTGTAGAGGTAATGGCTGGATTATCTATTTCTTGTCTACTGCACAATCAAATATTTAGCTGTTCATGTTTGTAAGTTTGGTTCTTGCTCAGAATTTTCTTTATTTTATGGAGGTAATAAGTGATTATTGGAGTCTTGTACTTCAGGATTTGCTCTAAAGAGCTCTTGAAGATATTAGGTTTTGATCTGTACTTGGGAAATTGTTAGTACTTCCTGAAGGTTAAGTATGAAACACTGAATTGTTATGGTGCTTCTTGTTGTATGAATAGGTACTAAATTCTACCGTGCAGTTTCCACGGTGGTTATGAATACAGATCAAAACAAAGATCTTCATACCATCACTGTTTGGTCAAAGATAATCTCAGGAAGTACAGAGATTTTACTTTACTATTAATATAGCGGTTGAATGCCGTATCTTCATTTTCTTGTTTCCAAAGAAAAAAGACGCACAGGAGATGTCACGAGGATGAAAACATTTTCTTTGGTGAAATTCCCCCTTTTTTTGGTGTCAAGGTAGAAAGCCAAGCCAAGATGATACAGCGGTGACCTCAACAAGCGCGGGAAGATGACGTTAACAAAGGTTCGAACTAATTCTTAGTCGGTTAAGTATAACTATGACAGGATGGAAAAATGTAGGTTAGAAATTCCAGCTAGAACTATTAATGTTTCATCACGTTCATGTAATTCCTATAGCACTTGTTTAACCCATTTATAGGGCAGGCGAATTTCTCATGTATTCCTTGGTCCTCTTTGTTCAATGTTGGGTACAACTCCAGTTGATGGCTCGAAACTTCTCTCAAGTTGTACAGATCGCAGGTTTTCCCATCACTGCTCTTTATCGGTTACAAGAAAATTATGTTCTAGAAAAACACTGAAAATCAACACTTTGGAAAAACACCTCTTTTGCCGGAATGTATAACACAGCAATAAGAACGGAGTAGAAATGCTCTCTGCAAGTATAACTGAAAAAATAGCACAAAGCTCCTACAAATTAACATGATAAAAGATCGATGGTACCAAATCAACAACCGACCAAGCCAGGCCAGCATACTGCAGAAACCTTATTCCTGTATCAATATCGTACGTTCTACCCTGGAGAATCAATGCCAAACTGCGTATCTTACCATCAGACTTATTCTTGCTTTTATCAAACTCTTTAAGTGCTGGAACGTAACATGATGACTTTACAGGGATTCCCAAAGTATTGCAGAAGATTGGAAGCAAGCATTTAGATATTGCCTTGATACACGACTTGACGATGAGCATGGTGGGGATGCCGAGCATTACCCTTCCCATGAAAGTTGGAAGGGTTAACTGAGGACTGAATAAATGTGGAATGCTCTCGTGGTGAAAATGCCGATAAGTTTGTTGGATTCCGCTGACCTACATTATGAAGGGCAAAAAAGTTGGGCTCCGAAATACAGTTTCAAATATCAACACAGAAGATTCTTTTTCTTTTCTTTTTACAAGCTACTTTTGCATATGCCATATTGTTCCATACTCAAGAACTCAATTTTCTGTCCCCCGCGTAAAGAGCATAGTGAAAGTTCTCATAATTTTGCAACTTTCAATTTAGCTTTCTGATGTAGTTTAAATTTAGAAAAAAATACCTTGACTACTGATCCTATTAGATGCTAATAATTTCCTAGCGAGCATTAAAAAGTGAGATCTAGAAGTTTTTTTTTTCACCTTAATGTTTTAAGTGAAAAAAATGTTTGTTTCTTTATAGTTCATACAGTGCAGATGAAAAGCATGTGCATGGTTAATAGCAAGAATTTTTGGATGCAATGTGTATCACAATATTTTCTTACTGTAGAAAACTTGCTTGTACAAAATGCAGTTAATGCTGAAAATTTTATCCACTTCTATGAAATATTGGTAAACATAATTTTCCAACAACTACTCAGTAATATCCACATGCAAAAAATGGATTCCTAATAGGGTATAAGGAGACTATAAGTATAATAGCCACAAAAGTAAGACTAGGCCTTGATTGACAACGGAAATGCGGAAGTAGACTACTTACAATTCCAAATGCAACACCATTGAACGCTGTGTGGTATTCAAAACTTGGTGTCGGGAACTCTGGTGTAGGATAGGCAAAAAACAGGAGGAAAGAGAGGCCAACCCAGAAGTACGTAACTGGCAAAATAAATTTCTAAAATCAACTTTAGGTCGTCAAGACCAATCCTAAAACAATAGTTCAATACGTCTATTGAGCAACCCTATGAAGTCCATTACATTTAAGCATACCATTTTGCCCAGAAACGATGAAATCATCAATAAGTCCATGAACGATGAGCCAGAAGGAAAGAATAACAAGCCCAAGGACAAATCCAGCTACTACATCAATCAAGCTGTGCATACCCAAGTAAATCCTCCCTGATAAGAAAAAGAACTAAAACTTATATTCACTTAGAAGCACTAAGATATATTAATATGATTAAGGCCTGAGGATGGCATAACTCAAATACAACCCTCTTCAATCATCTTTGTTTGCGGACGGTCGTGCATCCAACAATAAGCACCATAAAATAAGAAACAACCCCAAACCAATAGTAACAGCATTTCCTAAAATACTTATGATTTTTGAGTCATTTTCCACTATAAAGGAGTTCGAAGCAATAAAATCAATTAAAAGGTTAAGGAGATGAAAATTCACCTATGCTAATAAGCAGAACGAGAATGAAAACCAATGAGAAACCAATGAAAAGTTTTGTGCCATCTCCTTCGGGGTCACATGTTGTCACATAATGCAACAAATATCTGCAACATCCACCAAAATAAATTAGGTATTCATTTAACTTTTACTTGAAAGGAATTAAGAGCTAGGAGAAGGGGGAAAACCCGGAGAGGCAAACAGTGTTTAATGTGTGAGAAGATGGTAATCCATATTCCCTTGCATTTTCTTTCTCATCCTCAGTAGCCGTCACTCTTCTCACCGGAGGACAGCTAGGTCTAGGAGCAGAAAGCATGTCCTATTAACAAATTATTCGAAACAAAAACATAAATTAATTATTAAAACTAACAATGATCAATGTCAATCCTGTAACTAGTGAAGTAACAGAAACACCGCAAACTGCGTGATTTTCTTTTCTTATATTAAATAGTGAATTGCATCAAATTTAGCTCTGAGTGGCACTTACATGACAATCCAGCCATCTTACAGGCACCAACATGTAAATTGTAATTGCGCCGATATGCATATAATTCTTAGTAAAGTATAGGCATTTTAGATAACATTTACCACCTGAAGTTGAGTAGACTTCAATTTTATTAGCTAACAAACTCAATCAAATAGTTATATAAATATCCACCAAAAACAAACAAATTCATCTCCTTTTTCCCCACCAAAAAATAAAATAAAAATAAAGGCTCATTCCATACCTTAATAGAATTCCCGATATAATCACAAAAAGCCATCAACAAAGTCATCTGTCTTGCCAATTTGCTATGTCCACTCTATCCAATAAAACATAAACGAAAAACCAACTAATTAATTGCACTCCCAAACAAAATTAACTGGACAAACCGATAAATTACGCAAAAAGGCAACATACCCAAAAGAGCAGGGGCAAAAAGCCAGTATAAAAAGGCACTGAAACAACACAAGAGAGCACAGAGAAGAGGTTGTCCAAATACCCATGACGGCACCTCTGCCAAGATTAAATCTTTAGTCTCCAGTTAGCATAAAAATTCGATTTTTCCCCCTCCAGAAGTCACCTGAATATGGAGGATGAGAGTGGTATCGGATTGAACTCGGCGAGTGATCCATGGCTGAATCAGTGATCGGAGACGGCGGGTGAGGTCGAGGAGAGAAGAAGCAATCACCCATCCAAGAATTGAGGAGAGAGAAAACACTTGCCAAGTTGAGAATAGGCTTTTGCTCTCCATTTTCTCTCTCCTATCTCTTGTTGTTGAAAACCGGAGAACGAGAGGGAGGGGAAAACAAGTTTTGGTGGGTTCTTCGATGGAAGTTTTCTTGTCTTTTGTAATGCCAAGTGCAGTGAAGGAGATTTGATTTTCTAGATATATATACACACAGTACACTCCAATTTTTTTGATTTTTATTATGCGTAAAGGCCCTAGGTATTATTTATTTGCAGATATTTTATGGAAAAAATGCTTTTGTTTTTTGGTGAATAGAATGAAAACAACATGAGATTGTTTACTTATTTAGGTGTTCTTAAAATTGGGAGTTCCTACTATGATATCATATGGTTTTATCATGTTTGCTAATTATTATTGTTTAATCTGATAATATATTGGTCATTATAAGCTTTTTTATGCTCGTCTTTTACAAATAATTATTTTGAAATTAAGGACTATCTGTAAAAGAAAGAGAAAAGGCATTATAAATAGTTTGTATAAAGAAATTGTTTAAGTTATGGATTTTATGTACTTCTCTTGACATCAACTCTACTCTATGATATACTCTATTCTTTGTGTTAATACTTGTCAATGTTATTCACTGATTTTCAATACATAAAAAAAGTCTGATGTTTTGGTAGGGATCGTTTTTCGGAATTTAACACTCTAACATGATCCTCTAAGGAGTCGTCTCATGAGCCAAAATCTGAACTCATACAACAACAATTTTTTTTCTTAGATTTATATTAAATGTGTAGTCAATGAGGTTTAAATCCAAATTCTTTGATACCGTGTTAAGAATCTCTTCCGCTATAGGAAAGTTGGAAATTATAATCATATTTAGAGTTACAATTTCACACTCTAAAATATGTACTTCGAAGTGTACTAAGTAGTTGTTTTTATATTATGTGCACTTGCTGGTTGTTGGAAAAGGTATTGCTACTATATATAACATATATAGCTTTCATAAAAATATCTCTCTTTCTAGAAAGCCTGAGGTTTGAAAGGCAATTATAAGTGGATATATATATAAAGATGTACAAAATGTGCCCAAGTTTGATAACGTTCGTCATGAAATTCCAATACCATGCGACGTGTCGTTGGATTCAACCAATTTTTTCTCTTATGATATCTTTATGTTTTCATGTTGTTTCATAGAAATTTTAATTTCTACTACGCACATGTATGGCTGGCTTTGGTTCTACCAATTATCTGTGTCAACGGTGAATGACGGCAATGCCCTCTCTTCATCTTCACGGATCTTTGGTAGAAGAAAGTTATACATCTCTACTAGTAGAAATTCTATTTTCTATATTACAACTTCTTAGTCACTTCTTGTGTCCAAGCTTTTGTAATTAACAATATTTTGTCTTTTTTGATATTTTAATGAACGTGGTATCAAGCCCCTGTTTTTTGATAAAAAAAAAAAAAATCATGCTGGGGGCGGCTCGAGTTATTTGATTATGGTCTTCTGTCTTCTTGCATATAGCACCCTTCAGAGATTTAAGTTTTCGGTTTCTTTTGATTGGTGCTCAAGTTATTTTTCGTAGCGTCAAAATGATTAAAAATGAACAAAATTATAGTAGCTCACGAAATCTGTAATTTTTTAACTCTTAACAGAACAAAATTATAGTGTTATAACTCACGAAATCTGTAATTTTTTTTAACTCTAACAAATTACTTGCTACAAAAATTATGTGTTATAGCTTAAGAAATCTAGAATTTTGAACTTAGCAAAATTATTTGACATAGTGCCAAAAGAACTAAAAATGAACAAAAGTCATAGAATATTAGTAATGAAATCATGAAAGTTTAACTTTGAAAAAAAATTCCCATAGAAGATTAAAAATAGACAAAACTTATGAGTTATGGCTAATGAAATCATGAATTTTAGTGTCCTAAAAAATTATTTTCCATAGGGTCAACACGAAAAAAGGGACGAAAATTGTGGGCTGTATCTCAAGAATTCATGAGTTTTGATTTCCACAAAATTATTTCTCATTGGAAGAAACAAAAAACATGATAAAAATCATGGGCTCTAGATCATGAAATAATTAATTTATAAGTTTGAATAGTTATTTACCAAAGGGTCAAAATGTAAAACTAGACAATAATGATGGACTATAGCTCTTAAACTCGAGAATTTTTAACTCCCAAAAAGTTATTTTCCATAGGGTCAAAACTATTAATAATGGGCAAAAATTGTGGAATATAGCTCAAGAAATCATAAATTTTGAAGTCAAAAACTTATTTTATGTAGGGTAAAAACTATTAAAAGTGGATAACATCCATGGATTTTAGCTCATTATGAATTTGAAATCTAAATAAATTATTTGCCATAGTGTCAGTATGTATGAAGATGGACAAAAAAACTATGAGTTATAACTCATAAAATCGTGGATTCTAAAGTCCGAAAAATTATTTGCAAGGGGAAAAAATAAACAAAAACATACAAACATCATGGATTGTAGTTCAAGAAATCATGAGTTTTGAACTTTGAAAAGTTATCTTCCATTGGAATGGAATGAATAAAAATAGAAAAAACTTATAAGTTATAGTTCTATAAATTGTGAAATTTAAAATCTAAAAATTATTTGCCTTAGGGTCAAAGTGATTTAAAACGGACAAAAATAACGGGTTATAGCTTAAGAAATCATGAATTTAAATTCAAATAAACTATTTGTCATAGGGGCAAAGTAATTAAACATGGACAAAATTCTTTAGCTTATAACTCATAAAATCATAAATTTTGTACTTCAAAAAAATTATTTGCCATAGTTCAATACTTATAAAAATGGACAACAACAAGTTATTTTCCATTGGAATAAAATGAATAAAAATAGAAAAAAAACTTATGAGTTATAGTTCTATACATTGTGAATTTTAAAGTCTAAAAAATTATTTGCCATAGGGTCAAAGCTATTTAAAATGGACAAAAATAGTGGGTTATAGCTCAAGCAATCATGAATTTAAATTCAAATAATTTATTTGTCACTAGGGAAAAGTAATTAAAAATAGACAAATTCTTGGCTTATAGCTCATGAAATGATGAATTTGAAACTTCAAAAAAATTATTTTCCATAGTTCAATACTTATAAAAATGAACAAAAATCATAAACTATAGATCATGAAGTCATGAATTATTTGCTATAAGGTCAAACAAACAAAAATAGACAAAAAGCATATGGATGTAACTCACGAAGTCATCAATTTAAACTCTAAAAAGTTATTCACTATTAGAAGAACATAAATGGACAAAAAATGTGTGTTATAGCTCAAGAATTTGTGAAATTTTTAAGTCTAAAAATTTCTTATACTATAACTCATGATTTCAATTTTAATTGTGTTGATCTTACATCAACTAATTTTTTTGACTTAAGTATTCATGACGTTATGAGCTATAACCCACGATTTTTATATATTTTTGCTCATTTTGACCTTATGAAAGATAATTTTTCAAACTTAAAATTCACGATTTCATGTGGTACCCACTATTTTCTCTATCTTTACTGGTTCAAATGACAAATAATTTTGTGGTATCTAAACTATATGATATCATGAGCTATAACTCATGATTTTTGTCTTTTTTCAATGGTGTTGATCCTGTGGCAAATAATTTTTAGAGTTCAAATTCATGATTTAATGAGCTAGAACCCATAAGTTGTCTATTTTTAATCTTTACACCCTATGACAAATAATTTTACTAAGTTTAAAGTTTTTAATTTCATGAGTCATAACTCATAAATTTTCTCTATTTTTAATATATTTCGTCCTATCGGAAAAATTTTATAGTTCAAAATTCATGAATTCTTGAGCTATAACGCACAAATTTTTTTATCTAAAAGGTTTTAACACAATGGAAAATAAATTTTCAGACTTGCAAATTCATTTTACCATGAGGTATAACCCATGACTTTTGTTCATTTTTATTAGTTTCTTTCTATTAAAGTATTTTTTTAAATTCAAAATTTAAGATTTCATTAGCTGTATAATCTATGATTTTGTCTATTTTTAATCATTTTAACCTATGACAAATTTTGCTAAGTTCAAACTAGATTTCATGAGTTATAACCTATAATATTTTTTTCATTTTAATACTTTAACCTCTATAATAAATAATTTTTCAAAGTTATAAATTTATAACTTTATGAGATATAACCCTAGTGATGTGTTTGGATGGAGAGTAGGAAAGGGTAGGGGAGCAGAATTTGGGAGTTCACTTTGTTTGGGAATTTTTTCTGAGAGAGGAAATGTAAGGGAAGGAAAAAAAATCCACATAAGAATATAGTCATTTTAATCCCCCACCCCCAAAGT